ACATCCCTAATTCTACCCAATACCTAAACTTAACAACTACCTTACTAACTATTAATAAGCAACAAATTAGGAATTTATTGAGGAAAAAGTCATTGTTAATAGTGAATAAGTGTTCCCTATTCTAAAGTGTTACTTGGTTTTTAATAGCAAAGTGGTTATATTTCTTTTCGTTTCTTTATTAAGTTCATTTAGAAGTATGTTTTGAACATTTTATGTTTGTTAAATTCAAGTTTTTGTTTTTTAAAGTACCAAGTGGCTAGCGGCGGACAGTGAGTCGAGCATATGTTTGATCAATTTAGCCTTCTCAAATCAACACGACTTGCCTAAAATAAAATCCATAGAGAACACTTCATGCATTTCACAATTTTAACCTAGATAAATGTGCGCTTTTAGGTGCATATCCAATCGTTTGTGCGGAGAGTGGAAGCTGAAGCGCACTTTGACATGGAGGCGCTAGCGATCACTTGCATTTTTTTTCTTAATAAGTGTGGAAACTTAAAATACGCCATCATTTTTGCTCCTTTCTGCTGTTTCTGCTGTCTCGGTCTTGAACAGGAGCGCGTCACAATGATGAACCGAAACTCAGCGAACACAGACATGGACATGATCAAAAAATATATAGAAAGCTTTAAATTACTACATTAAAACGAATGTAATCCGTAAAGATGCATTTCTCTCTAAAGGCGCGTCCAATGAGGAGATGGCGAGTCAGGATCGTCAACTTCATCTTTGCGACACTGACTCAGAAAACACTAGTTTATTAATAAAGAATTCAAATATCTCCTTACTATTTTTAACCATTTTTTTCCTGTTTTTTGTTTGTTTGTTTTTTTGGGCCGCTGTGCGAAGATTGTGTTTGCATGCAGTACAAATAGCCTATAGTCCTTAGCCATCTTCAAGAATCGACTAAAAACACATCTCTTCCATCTTTATTTGACCCTCTAACTCTAGCACTCTCTATTTTAATTCTATTCTTAAAAAAAAAACTCGTCCCTTTTAGACTTGCACTCTATTCATTTACTGCTTGATCATTGCTCTTTTGTTAGTTTTGATTGCTTCTATTGTCCTCATTTGTAAGTCGCTTTGGATAAAAGCATCTGCTAAATGACTAAATGTTAATGTTGTGTGAAGTTAATGTGAAAATTCCACCTATACCTGTCATTCTTTATATTTAACTTGAAAAACAGCAATAAAACGTAGGCTTATTGACAATTGTTGAAATTGAACTGATTTTTTTTCAACATGCATTCAAATATTCATGTTTATTTTGTGCGGCAAATATTAAAGAGGAAAATATCATTGATTCACACGCAGCTTGAACTGATGCAAATATAGTTATCGCACTACAAATTAAAGAGCTTAAAAACACATTTATTGTTTGTATTTTGTCATAAAATTTACAGAAGGCTGAGACTTTATTGGGTGACTTGCGTGCTACAAATAATAAATTAACTTGAAAACATTAAATATTATTTCCAAGCATTTATAACGTAAATAAAACAGCTTGTGAATAGTCACGTAATGTTATTTACTTCAGAAAAATCAACAATAAGTTTAAGATAACCAAGTTGGAGCCCATAATGTTTGGGGGGGGCCCGTTACACACAATTTCTGAAACTATGGCTCCTTTTCTCTAAACTCTACAAACAAAACCACAAAACATGCACACAACATGCAAAACATTACGCATCTCTTGCAAACTGTGTTTTTGCACAGTAACTCTACAGCATCAAATGATTGGCCATATACACACCAAACTACACGTGCATATGACAAATGTAAAACACTACTATTTTGTGTTTTTTGCTTGTTCAGTGTGCAGTGGAGCTGACTTGAGCTGTATAATGATACTATTGCCGCAGTTTTGCAGACTTGGTCTGAAGATTGGCTTTATGAGTGAATGGTTTCACTGTGTGTGCTTCAAGTACAACTTTTAGTGTGTGAGCAATTAAAACAAACTGCAAGCCCTTGACCAAAGAGTTTAAGCATCTAGACAAAAAAAAATTCTGAATTGTTCAAAAATGGACCAGCATACTAAAAAAACCCTCTGAAGTTATAAATATAAGCAGTACAATATCCCAGAGGGAATGTGTTGTGATTTGACAAGTTATTTTTGGTCATTTGTACTATTTCTGAAAACGATGCTGCTTTATTACAGCTTAACCTACAAATGAGCACAGAATCTGTTCTGCTGCATATTACCGTGTGCAAACTAATGTGCTTTTAATAGAGTAGAGCATTTTATGTTTGTTTAAAAAAAAAAGGATTATCATAAATTGATATTAATAGTGACATTTATTTTCAGGTGCAGAATTTTTAAAAGCATTTTTTTTTATTTTTTACTATCTGCTTTAAAAGTCAACATAAAAATGCCACATCTCTGGTCTTACTGAGCGTGATTCATCACTTTATATTGTTTAAAGTTTTTTTGCCCCATGCATTCTGGTATTTTCACCATTCAATTAATTCATGATGGATAAAATCCCCACCCTACTTTTTTTTTCTAGTTTGAGAATAAGAAATGCAGAACATTATGGAAATAAAAAATGGTTGTGAATGCTGGCAGAGTTTATGTTTTCTGATTTATTTGTTCTGTCCAAATAGGAGTGAACTCTTTCCAGGTCTATATGGCTTATAAAGACCTCTATCAGATGAGCAACAGTGAGGTAAGCTAAAGAAATGATTATAAAGAAATTAGAGTTATTATATATTTATGTATGAATTTATTTATTTGTTTGTTTGTAAAAAACAGAATAGTGTTGTGGATATAAACATTCTTTCATTCTTTCTGTTGGGAGTTATTTCTATCTGATCTGACCCTTAAAAATGACTTTTGTTAGTGTAACAATGTTGTTTTTTTTCACAAAATCTCTCCTCACAGCATTTTATGTAGAATAATTTAGCCATTTATTAATGATTATTTATATATTGGTGCATATAAAAGTACTAAGTACCAATATATAAACGTTATTCTCCCATTACCTAATTTGATGAAAAATGCATTAATTTTCTATAAAATCAAGATTAGACTAGATTTCCGTTTACTTGATCTCATTGTTACAAAAAAGTTATTTTAAAGCTATTTTCACTCTATGTTTCTATGTGTGTATGAACAGCTTTATGAGATCTTCACCTTCCTTGGAGAGCATGGAGGAATTGCACAGGTCCACGCTGAAAATGGAGAAATAATTGCTGAGGTACGTGAACCTTATGAATATTAAAGGGGTCATGAAATGGAGAATCAAAAGACGTTACCATTAATGTGTGTCATCGGCGTATGGAATCGAGGAGGAGTCCATCGATCGCAAGAGCCATACTGCTGTTAGCTAAAGAACGAGCATTTTTGGTGCAAAAAACTTATTTGTAAACAAATCTTGAGATGTAAAAATCTGAAACTGCATTTCATGTGAATATGTAAGGACTCGTGTAAAGATGTTCTTAGACGTTCATTTACGCATTAGTAAATCGAGACTCGTTCCTGTCAGTAGTGTGAAAACCATTCTCTATATTGTGATTATTTTGTATACAGAGAGCAATCAGAGATGGTTCTCTTTATAATCGCCAAAGTAGCAAGAATCTATCAGTGATTTGATTTCTGCATTTTTACCAAAACGTCCGTTATAATCGATGACACTGTTCTCACTGTGTTCGTTATGATAAATGTATGTTGCAATAAGAAGATCACTGTGATCATTGTGCGTCAGTAGACATGACTGTGTTCGGCTGCAACCTTCAATGCTTTAAATACAATGCTAGCTATAATCAACACTTTCAACATTAGTTTATCTTGGCAGCTGTTGCAGTAAACACGCAGTAAAAGTTTCTGAGAGAGCTCCACATGAACTGCTCATTTCATATGCAAAGATGTCAGCCAATCACAGCAGTGGGCGTTTCCATTGAGCCTTGATCTTAAGTGCACATCAGGAAACATTATAAATTAATTAAATGCAATTTACGACCTCTTGAAGAGTCATAGCAATGCAGTTTATTTGGCTTTACTCGCTACACTTTACATTAAAGAACGCATTTTCCTTTCTTCGGCATATTTTATGTTGGAGCATGGCATATCAGAGAGCTTATTCCTTTTTTCAGTAGTCAGGAGCTGTTGTTATTAGATGGTTGGGGAATTTAATTATTCTGCAACATTGTTCTAAAATATGCATCCGAGCTAATAGCAAATCCAGAGTCACTCATACCAATCCTGAACATTGCAAATGCATTTATTACTGTCATTAATTATAAAATAGAGCAACATTTCTGAAACGCTGTCTCAACAAAGCCATTATTATTTTTCTACCGGTGGAGAACTTTTGTCGCCTCAACATGTGCGATTTCCACATTTGCATCCTTTTCATGCCGTCTTCATAATGAAAGGACAAACTTTTGGACTTACAGTACAGATGCGTTTTGGCAGCTTTGGATTTGACGTCTCTTGTAACAATTCACTTAAGCTGTGAATTTAAACAAGTAATATGCATATGCATGCAATATGAACTTAAACAAGTGATATGCATATGCATGCAGTATGAACTTAAACAAGTGATATGCATGCTGGTTTTGAAACCAGACATTGCTCAGTCATAAAACAATGTAAAATAACAGTTAGGCTCATCTTAAGAACAATGCTATTTGGAAAGCTAGCTGTGGTCACATTATATTATTCATTGTGATATGGAAAATAGCTGATCTTCCTGAAATAATTGGTGTTCCTCAAAGTAAATGATTACTGTTTCCATGTTTTCTTTAATGACATTATTCATGCACCACATCATGTTAAAAAAAGCACGAATAATACAAGTGCAATGCAAAGAGTGACAGAAAAGCGACTCATCTCGACTGTGTGTTGTTCAGGAGCAGAACCGTATGCTGGAGATGGGCATCACCGGACCCGAGGGACACGTTCTCAGCCGTCCAGAGGAGGTCAGTGAGCACAAACACAGCTATATGCTGTCCTGTGTGGGGGTTTGTTCGTGCTATAACATCACTGCAGGCCCAATTCTCAATGCAAAACTCACAATAAGACACAGAACTTGTGTTAAATCAGTTGCAGCAATCTGATTTCATGTTGAAAAATGTCCCGCCCCACAGATTTAATTAGTCTGGCATCAGTGATCTTTCACAGACATGATGGCTTTATTGAGGTCAGCCAAGAAAGTGGGGAGGGGAACTTTTGAGTTAGGCTGAATCTGTGTGTTGTGTGTGTGTGTAGCTGGAGGCTGAAGCGGTGTTTCGAGCCGTCACTATTGGCAGTCAAACCAACTGTCCTCTCTACGTGACCCGCGTGATGAGCAAGAGCGCTGCTGACATCATCTCACAGGCCAGGAAAAAAGGTACACACTATCACATACATTTAAATCCTGATCAGCAATCAGTTTACTAAGTACAGTTCAAATCTATATAACATGTTATAAAACGGAGAGTTCCGGTCCTTGATTCTGATTGGCTGAGCCAAGTTCGAAGCTGTTGTAAATGACTCTACAAAGTAACACACACCTTTGTTTACGTTTGTCTGTTGCTCGTCAACCACTTTGTAGCAACCACAACTGTTTCTGAGGAGCTACATTGTTTGGTGGAAGAACACTGTTTTTATTAATATCATTACACTTTATTTGCTCTGTTTTATTTTGTGAAACCTTACTACGTATATGGAATAACCGTTTTATAAAAGCAATAAGCCCCGTGAAGCCGTGGTTTACAGTGAATTTATAACAGCTAAGGGGGTTTTAGTCACTCCGCTTCACGTTGTGCTTAACAATGCCCCTTAGCTGTTATAAATTCACTGTAAACCACGGCTTCTTGGGGCTTATTGCTTTATTTACTGACATGTTGCTCGAGAAAAATTCTAATTAAACTTTATTTGGAGTACTACTTGTGCACAATGCACATTTCTCAATATTTAGCCTAAAATGTGTTTTAATGTCACTACTGATGACGATTGTATGATTTTTGAATAATATCGGTCTTTAAATGTAAGATATTTCAAGTGTGCCTGAAGTATACTTGCAATAGTTCTACTTTAGCACAATCAAATATTTCAGTATATCTTTAGTTGGACTTCAGCACTACTTCCGCACTTTAAAGTGCATTAAGTACAAAATTAGTTGTTCCAATTTAGCGGACGAAGTATACCAGTTTAGTATACTAAAAGTACAATTGCAGGGTATTTTTATTAAGTACATAAATATGTAAATGTATTTGTAGTATACTTAGCATGAAATAAATCATGTTCAGATATGGTTTAGTATATTTATTTTTCACTAGGGTGGTAAATCATCAAACAAACAAACACATAAATAAAAAAATAAAAAAATAAGGTAACACTTTATTTTAAGGTGTCCTTATTACACATTTTACATGTACTGTACTTATTATAATAACGATAAATTATGCGTAATTACATGCAAGTAACCCTAAATTAAACCCTAATCCTAATCAAATTGTAAGTACATGTAGTTAATTAATATTACTGAGTACTTAAATGTATTATTACACTGTAACAAGGACACCTTAAAATAAAGCGTAACCATAAATGTTTTTAAAAATATATAAATAAATAATATAATTGAACAAAAAAAGCCTTTAAAGTTTAGAAGTAATGAATGTCTCATAATGTGGCCAATTCCAAACAATATCTATCTAACAATATGAATATCAATGTCTATATATTTTTTTGAATAATGGACAGATTTTATTCTTATTTAATTCTTATTAGTCAGTACCAATAAACCAGTAAAATCCCACAGTTCTCAGCACCAATTTCAGTACTATAGCAAAAACTGTTGCAAGTATTTTTTTTATTTAACTATTGAAAGTAAAAATATTAAATAAATAAAATGATCTGTTACTGCTATTGATAATAATAAGTAAATAATGTTAAAAAATTAGCATGTAGACGTTAAATATTGTACGATTTTGTAATTACGTTGCATTAAAAAGATCAAATGAATGTAATAAAATGACAAAGAAACACAGGTAACAGAACAAGTGTCAGGTCTGTGGTTATCACGAAATCAAACTCCCATTACAATAAAACAAATCTATCTGTACTGCACAATTAATCTCGTTTACATCATGTTTATACTTGTTTTTTTGTTACGAAACAATTTGCAACTTACATCTGACTTGAAAGGCTCTGATTGGCCATTGTGCTCACATGCTCCACAAACATGTCTGTGATTGGCTACAAGCGCTATGCTGCAAAAACACATTGTAAATAGAAACCTTTGACTCTCTTCACAGAGTGTTCTCACGAATATGTGAATGTTTGAAAGCAGCTGCTGATTAGTCGCTTATTGTGTACTTTTGACGACACAATTTGTAATATTTACCACATTTCATGTATAATTGTGTGAATACAAACAATGTTCTGGAGAAGTTTCGGAGTGAGCTGAGGTTCCTGGGAAACAAGGTGCAGAACACGATGAAACGTCTGATAAAATAAGAAATCACAGCATGAGCATGTCAGCAGCTAATGCTTGAGCTTTCACAGATGTGGACTAGTTTACACATCTCATCTGAGTTAAATAAACCTCTGTTGACATATATATATATTCATTACAGTAATTACCTTTGGCTGGATACAACTGTTTGGCATGTGTGTAAATAACAGTTTAATTATTATAAATGTATTATTAGTAATTTGTCATTATATGTTAGCTGTCTATACATTATTTGCACTCTGTGAAATGTTTATTTTATATGCACTGGTCGGTCTGTTGTAAAGGTTCCACAATCCATCATTATAATAGCTCTTGCTGTTTAGTTACTGTAAATCATTCAGATGCAATGCTCTTGCTGTGGGAGACTCATACAGTGATCTAATCAGATGCAACGCATGTAAAAGGACTCTTTCATGATAAGAAGTTTTTCTTAACAATTTAAGCATTGAGCGGCACAGTTTTAGAGAAGTGTCAAGTTCTCAGGAGTACAGAAGCCAGCCAATATTATTTTAGACAACTATGGTTTTTCAAATGAAAATAAACAAGTGTAAATGTTAAGGCTGTAAACGTATAATTTAAAAACAAAAAAATTAATTATTTGCATGATATGCCAGTTAATCACAGATGAAGTTTCTCCGCTGTCTTTTATTTCTGGACTTCAGTTCAGTTATTCCCAGTGTAGATTCTGTAAAATTACTTAAAGAAATAATTCAGCCAAAAATGAAAATGGTCATTTATTTACTCATTCAAAAGCTGTATACTGGTGTTTTGTCGGTGAAATCAAAAAGAAGGAATTTTGAAAAAATAAATGAATAAATCACAGGGCTGTAAAATGATTAAATTCATCAAATTAATTACATACATTGCATGCATGCATTCAGATTCATATATGGAAGCTCAGACGTCCTTGCTTGATACACAGGAAAAAAATATTTCACTGGTTCACTTTTGAGCTTCACATAATACCACATTTTATGTGCTCTGTGTATGGGCATTGATCAGTATTTATATGTGATTAAGCGCTAAAATTAAATCATATAAAGCAACCATGACTGTGAAAAAATTGGGTGAATGGACTTTCAATGGACAAATCTCACAGATTTCATTAAAAAATATTTACATTTGTCTTTTTGAAGATGAATGACAGTCTTATGGTTTTGGAATGTTGTTAGTAAATGATTACAAAATTCCCATTTTTGGGCAAACTAATTATTTAATAAAGTGTAGTGTGCAACAGTTTTATGTCTCTGAAATGGTTGCTATAGCGTTCCCAAAAGTGTGGTAACATGTCTTACAATCTCTATTACGCAATTCTTCACTCTTCAATTGGGCGCTTAATCACTGTCTTTAAAAGGGACACAAACCTGTGACATTCTAGACTTTGCCTCTTATTCTTTCTGACTGTCCTGAATGGAGACTAAAAGCTTTGTGTCAGTGGAGATTTATAAGTTAGTTCTGTGCAGTTTCATCCTCTCAGTGCTTTTAATGAGTTTTGCAAAGGTCTTTGATTCATTTACTTGCTATGACAAGCATCACTGGTGAAACTGCTCATACACAGGTTTAGGGATTTAAACAAGCCCCTGCTCATATAATTCATCCCACACCGTTTGTGCTCAGATCATGGGGTTTATTGAGGAGAAGTGTGCTGGTACTTTTCTGAACATTTGGATGCATGATTTTTGGCTGGAGGACAAAGAAAACATATCGTAGATTTACACTGAAGTCATATTTAGACCAGAAGATGATGTTTGTTTCTAGGTAATGTGGTGTTTGGCGAGCCGGTCACGGCCAGTTTGGGAACCGATGGGACTCATTATTGGAGCAAGAACTGGGCAAAGGCGGCGTCTTTTGTGACCTCACCACCCCTCAGTCCTGACCCAACCACTCCTGACTACCTAAACACCCTGTTGGCCAGGTAACACAAGCATATCCTAAAATATATTACATCATTATACAATACAGTTCTGTCAGTTAGTTCTTAACCGGTGGGTCTATTAACTTATAGACTACAAAACCATTGACTAGAAGTAATTGATTGAAAATGTGAAAAACAATATAGTTGATATTTGAAGTTTATTGTAAAATATTTCACTGATGGACTGGCCATCCATCCAAGGTGTGTCTCTACTTATGGCAAGAGATTCTGGGATACACATTTTAAAAATAATAATAATAATGTCAAAAACATTATTTTAGTATATCTGAATCAACCTAACTACATTAATGTTTACCACCAAAACTACTTCATATGGGTTAAATAAGGTAGAAATATCCCTTTAAAGTACCACTTTACTACACTTTGCAGTGTAGGCAGAAATTTGTATACATAAAATGTATTAGTCATTGAATAATTCACTCAATTTAGTCATTGAACAATTCACTCAATGTAGTCATTGAATAATTCACTCAATGTAGTCATTGAACAATTCCCTCAATGTAGTCATTGAATAATTCACTCAATTTAGTCATTGAATAATTCACTCAATTTAGTAATTGAACAATTCACTCAATTTAGTCATTGAATAATTCACTCAATTTAGTCATTGAATAATTCACTCAATTTAGTAATTGAACAATTCACTCAATTTAGTCATTGAATAATTCACTCAATTTAGTCATTGAATAATTCACTCAATTTAGTAATTGAACAATTCACTCAATTTAGTCATTGAACAATTCACTCAATTTAGTCATTGAATAATTCACTCAATGTAGTTATTGAATAATTCAATAATTGGTTCAGAACTTCTGGGTCTTCATTTATAAAACGTGCACACACACAGATTTGATCTTAGAGTGTGTACGCTGAAATCCACACCAGCTTTCATATAAAAAAACGGTCTTTGACGTGGAAAAGTGCTTTGTGGCAAGTCAGGGTCCAAGCAGGCGTACACACTTTTCGGTGTCTGAGTACTGCAGGTATCTGGAAATCGATGCAATTCTTGACACCCGCCATTCTCAAGTAAAGGATTTGGACATTGACTGGTTCTCTGTTATATGTTAATGACATTAATTAGGGGGCGTCTGCAAGGCAGAGATCTGAAACTATTCAGCTACGCACAAATTCAAGCTCATTTGCAATTTATGATTTTCACATCTGAAAGAGGCACAAAAAACGTGTATGTTCATTCACTGAATCATCAATCAATGTGGGACGGTTTCTACACAATGCTTTATAAACGAGGCCCCTGATATACAGAACAGTAACACTCTTGCTCATGTGATATCACAGCACTGTAGCACAGACCCCAACAATCTGACTTGTTATAGCTGTACTATTTATAATTTTAGGCTAAATTCCATTAATTTCAAAGTGCTGTCTGTTACATAAACATTACAGTCAGTGAAGTGACGTGTCTGTGTGTTTCAGTGGTGATCTGTCGGTGGTGGGCAGCGCTCACTGCACATTCTCTGTGGCTCAGAAAGCCATAGGGAAAGACGACTTCACTCAGATCCCTGAAGGAGTCAACGGAGCGGAGGAGAGGATGTCTGTCATTTGGGACAAGGCTGTGGTGAGGATCATTCTACTTCCCTTTCTTAGATCCAGAAAATATAAAATATCTGAATACTTACTCAATACATTAACTCTTTCCTCACCATTGACAGAATTTTCCAGCTTTATACGGTAGGGGGGCGCTATTACACATCTTCTAAAAGAGTACTGAATCTCTGGATCAAACCATAGACTGTAAAATAAGATGGCCAAAACATCCCAGTATGGCCGGTGCCAGCTTGCGCTAATGACATATGTGACCCTGGAGCCCAAAAGCAGTCTTAAGTCGCTGGGGTATGTTTGTAGCAATAGCCAAAAATACATTGTATGGGTCAAAATGATAGATTTTTCTTTTATGCCAAAAATCATTAAGGATATTAAGTAAAGATCATGTTCCATGAAGATATTTTGTAAATTTCCTACCGTAAATATATGAAAACTTAATTTTTGATTAGTAATATGCATTGCTAAGAACTTCATTTGGACAACTTTAAAGGCGATTTGCTCAATATTTAGATTTTTTTGCACCCTCAGATTCCAGATTTTCCAATAGTTGTATCTCGGCCAAATATTGTCCTATCCTAACAAACCATACATCAATGGAAAGCTTATTTATTCAGCTTTCAGATTATCTGAAATCTCAATTTCGAAAAAATTGACCCTTATGACTGGTTTTGTGCTCCAAGGTCACATATTTTGAAGCCTGAGTCTGTGCAGTATTGATTTGTTTGGAGATGGAGCCATCAAAGTCCCGCCCAAACTTCCGCAGACCCAATCACAAGCTCACAATCATGACACCACACCCCATTTTTATACCATAAACTAAAAGCAAACCTAATAGAAAAACGAACGCTTGAACATACATTGGTGCGATAAGAACTGTCTAAAATGATAGAAACCATTTTTGGAAAAAAATTATTTGAAGTGTAATTTGATTATTTAGTTTGGCTCACATCCCATTTGTTTACATGGAGAGGGCAGGGTTTATGACCTATACTGCAGCCAGCCACCAGATGGCGATCAAAATGTTTTGGCTTCACATTTCGATTTGTGCGGCACACTTGGATCAAACACAAGTGAAGCAGCCACACAAACAAGCAATCACATATGTAAGCAGTGCATATGTAAAATAACGCGATCATCAAACATTAAACAGCAAATAAATCAAAACTGACTAACGTTACTGAATGAAATGCCAACCTAGGAAGTGGTCTAGGACTGGGAAGCTTTGGGCGTGTTGATGGACTCAATCTACTAAGTCTATATTTTGATCTGAATCCCATCTGGATGTACCCGATCTTCTCAGCTTTTTGTTTAAAATGTTGCTTTTTTCATGCAACTTACCCATCTTCAAGTGTTGATAAAAAAGAATGCATGAAGCTAGAACAAAACGGATTGTTTTGTTTAAAAGCAAAGGCTCCGTTCTTTCTATTAACAAATTGCATGTTCAGATATTCATACAACAAAATATTTGGGGGCCATGAAATCTGATAAAAACATGCTGGAGGGAAAAGAGTTAATTAATTCATTTGTACCCTAATGTGGATGTGAAAATAGTGCCCTAAATCTTATATACATTACCTTCTTCTCATAAGTGTACCGTTAAAGCTCCAAAGCACTGCGTTTGATTCTCAGCTGTCTGTTTTTCCTTTGCTCAGGTCACTGGTAAAATGGATGAGAACATGTTTGTCGCTGTGACAAGCACCAATGCTGCCAAGATCCTCAACCTTTATCCACGCAAGGGTCGGATAGCCGTGGGCTCGGACAGTGATCTGGTTATCTGGGACACAGACGCCACCCGGACCATCACTGCAAAAACTCATCATTCTGTAGGTGCTCTTTAAATAAATCCAATGAACGCACTATATACTCACATTTCAGAGGAACATCTAAACATAGAGAAGGAACTGAACTGGCTAGCCTTCACTGACCTTCCAGTTCCTCTGAGCGGAAATAGATGCTTCTAACTAATCAAACTGTGTGTTTATACAGGAACCCCTCGTAAATAAAACCGCTGGATAGAAACAGACCACAAAAACAGGAGATATCTGACAAACAGAGTTTCCTTTTGTTGCCTTATTAAGTCTCAGCAGACCTTTATTACTGTAGGAATGTGTTGATAAGTGAGAGAAGAACTGCAACTCTGCAAGCATCACTTTTAATGAACCAACCACTAGCCCACAGGTTTGTGCAACAGACATAAATATCATCTCATTTCATGCAGCTTTTTGAAGTTTGCCGTTACTTTTCAAATCAATTACATATTACAGTTTCACTAATCAATTAGTGAATTTAATAAAGAGTACTTATTATGGAAATTATGTACTTTATAAGAATATACTTAAGTGCAAACTGAATGTAATGTTTTCAGACACTTAACTGCATGTTATTTACAGTTAAATTAAAATGTACTATAGTTTACATTTATATTAAATGCAATTAGAGGTCTCAAAACTTGAGTGCTTTTTGACCCACTTAAGTAGGACATAAGTACATCTTTATATGTATTTTCATAATTACTTCTGTCTTCGGAATATTTTCATGATTACACATATGCAGTGTTGGGGAAAGTTACTTTTAAAAGTAATGCATTACAATATTGCGTTACTCCATAAAATAGTAACTAATTACGGTACGTAGTTACTTTTTATGGAAAGTAATGCGTTACGTTACTTTTGCGTTACTTTTTAAATCTGGACA